AATAAATACTTAAAGGGAAAAGCAGTCTGTGTCATGTTACATGCCAGTTACATGGAAAATATTCACAAATGAAGTAGCTTCCCACACACAGCTGTAGGTCTTTCTTCAATGCCCTGCTCTGAAGATTGCCTATGAAGGAAGCAACAAATGAGATGTGACTTAATGGAGCACCGTAATCAACTATCACTGTCACAAAGGAATGCATTTTTATAAAATGTGTCTGACTAGTTGAATGGTTAACTACATAATGCCTGTGAAATTACCTCTTTAATACATTGTGAAACTATCCCAAAAAGCGTGCATTACTTGTGGAAGTATGAAAAGTGGCTGTGTTTGTAAGTTAAAATGCTACTGCGTTCTTTGAGCAAAAAAGCTTCAAAATCTTTGGAAATAATGTTTTGCTTCAAATACAGAGTTGTAGAAAAATTGAACTACAGAATTTATTAATAAGAGAATTGTTTATGATTCAGTATGTTATTTTAAAGATCACAGTTTGAAGAGAAATAATCATGGCTGAATAATTCTTTTGGAGCTTTTAGGAAAAAGGGATGTTCCTTTTCTGACAAACAAAATTTATACATGCCCTGTATACTCTGTTCAGAAGAAAGGAAGTTGCCATTTTCTTCTGAGATTCCTGAATATTTTGGATAATACATTTCTTCCCCCTTTTGCCCAGTGTGGGAGATTATGTACATCAGCTTCAGGTATGACATTTCTAAGGAATGGAATGTATTTGATCATGCATTGGCTATGTCTGTAACATTTGAATTTGGACTATCTAGATCTGTAGAAAATATAATTCTAAAATATCCTTCAAGGAGTTATAGAACATAAAGTTCATTACAAAGGCAACAGTACTGTACTCAGTATTTCTAATATTATTAGAAAAAGAAAACCAAATTGGAAACATCTTCCCAACTTAAATTTTTTGAAAGTATTCTGAAGGATTGTATAGGATTCTGTCACCCTGAGTCACTTGTTGAGATGGATAATTATCAAATTGATTAAATACATTTCAATATAGTAGAACATTGAAGGAAATTGTAGCAATCTGCTTCATTTATGTTTCTGTTAAGATGCAATAGGGTACAAAATGAGTAAAAGATTGCTAGCATATAATGGCTTGTTTCAAAATATGTCAAACATGGTAGCAGGATTAGTGGATTTTTTTTTAAAGAAAAACAATTGTACCATATACTGTGTTTCTCATATAATAAGGCCGGGTCTTATTTTTTTTTGAGCCCCGAAAAAATGGCTAGGCCGTCTTTTCGGGGGTGACTTAATTCCCCCCCCCTTGCATCTTCAGGGGGGCGGGCGGCGATGGTTTGGATGTTGACCTCGGCATTGGTGGGGCATTTAATATCGGGGTCAATGCAGGCAGCACCATATCCGGGTGTGCAACAAAAGAACTAATGGCAAGCCCCCCCCCCCCCACCATTCCCCCCCATTTCGCATGTTTTAATATAGGCCTTAATTTGGGGGGAGGGGCTTCATTTCATGCCTATAAAACATGTAAAACATGCTGGGACTTCCTATTGGGGGAGGCCATATTGTTGGAGAAATGGTAGGAATGTGACAAATTAGGAGGAGGCTAAAAAGAAATGTTTGGTGAAAACCAGTGAGTTCAAGCCAGATTCTTGAAGTCTGCTATATTAGACAATAACATTAGACAATAACATATCCACCAAATAACATTGGTGGATCGGATTTTTTTTTTCATACTGATGGAGTTATTATACTTAGTACTTGCAACAATTGACAAACACATGATGCAGAAACCAATCTAGAATAGGGAAACTTCAGTGCCATCTTAAAACATAGATTAGCATCCTATTATTAGGAAAACAGGATATTATAGCTTATTTTGCTAATCAGAAATGAATTATAAAGCAATTATGAGCCTGAAAGCCAGCTGGGTGACTGAGGCTAGTCATACTCTCAGCCCACCTCAAATCACAAGGTAGTAGTTGCGGAGAAATAGGAAGAGGAAGGAGTATTTTGTTTTTTCACCACCTTGAGTTACTTATAATAAAGCTAGGGTAAAAATCAAAATTTAACTCACAAATAGTATTGTGTAATGAGATAGTTCCTCTTGAAGAGTTCATGACTTCATAGGTGCTAGCTGGAGAGTTGTAGTTCCTTTGGGAATTAAGGTTTGAATTGTGCAGAATGTAAACAGTTTTTTAAAGATCACTACAAGGCTTAAAATTCAGTGTCGGATTGATTTGTTTCAGATTATTAAAACAAGAAAACTTACAGCCTTATAGAAGTTGGACCCTGATTATCTTCTATTTTGATTTTACTAAAATACGCAGTTTACTTTCTTGTTGAGTTATGAAAACAAGTGCCAGAGAACTCTACCAAGCCAACAGAAACCCCATGACATAATACAATCATGTGTAACAATGGTTTGATGGCAATTTTCTGCTACAAAACTACTAGAATTTGAGGATATTTTGCAGTTATATTTTTACATTTCATCTTTTATATTTCATATTTCATTTTCCTACAATGTTTATTTCATTTAAATTATTTAGTAGCTTATCCTTTATTCTTGTATGGCAGCTTTTATGACAATTATGAAAGCAACAATCACATCAAACATTACAGCATCCAAAAAAATCTTAAAAATAGGGGACGTTATCTGAATTATACAATTAGGGATTAGCACTGCCCATAGTACTAACCAATGTAAAAGCAAGTCAATCAAAACTGTTGGGCAATTCTTATTACTTTATGGAACTTTCCTCAGATCAGCTTATTTTAAACTAAGAGTTTGAAATTTATTAATGGTATCTCAAATTCTGCAGTCAAAGAAACCTGTGTAGAATAAAATATATTCACAATGACTAATTCATGTTTCATGCTGCCACAATTTGCACACATTTTTTGACTATTTAAATCATAGGGTGCATTATACCAAACCATCTTGACTAGCCTAGCAAATGTTCCAGAATATGTAAGTAATTGATAAAAACTACTCCCAGATGATGCTGACACTTGTGCTTCCATTAAAAATGTAAATTCCGAAGGCTCATCAAGCCATATATCTTATGTTTTAGGCAAGGGATAATGGGAGTTGCAAAACAGAAAATATTACACAAGATTTTTAGTATCTATGACTTGTAGGAAAAAAGGAATATTGATTAAAGCATTGTTATTTTCCATTACATTTTATATGTTGGTTGTAAATAGTACTAAATATGAATTGTTTGCATATTTCATCCATTTCTGGATAAAACTTGTTTAAAGGTTGGGGTTCTGCAAAAATGGCTTTCTCTTCACACAAGTGTATAAACAACAAAGAACAACAGTACCTTAGAAGTAACTAAAGCCATCCAAAGGACATGGGTGCTTTAAGAAAGGCTGCACTGATCATACCTTTTTAAAATGATTTGTACATTCTTAGTTTCAGTACAATATTTGGTCTTGCATATACTGAATGCTCAAAACCCCATTTTTCATTAAATTAAACTGAAGAAAAAATAAGAATCCAAATATATTTATGAAACATGTTCAGGTTCCTGGGAGAATACTTAAGAATGGTTGACTTAAACCACTGAATATTTCCTGAATAAACAATATCTCTGTTTAACCCTTTCAAAGGCAATAGAATTGTTAGCTTGGCACTGAGGTCCAGCTAGCCACATCTGAAGACAGCTACTAAAACCCGGTATCTTTTATTTCCACTAAACATGCTCCCAGCAGTGTTAGTGCAAAGAAGTTGGTCTATCTGGAAAAAGAATGAAAGAAAACCTCCCCTAATGTTTTTTGGTGGCCCAATTTCTGCAACTGGTGAGATGTTGATGCCAAGTGGGAATATGTTTATCTATGGGTAGATGCAGCTGCGGTTTTCCATTCTTATGAGAGTTGGGGTTTAATTCCTTGCCTTGCTAAATGCCATGAGCTTGAATTGTAGTTTTGTATCTCAAAATACGGAAAAGATGCCACCGATTTTCAGCATTCAAGCTCAGATGGGACTTCAAGAACTGTACAAACAGGGCTGAGGGGCATACATCACTCACTTCAAGTCTAGAAGATGCTAGAACTCAGATTGATAAATGTCATATTTCAAATAGCCTGATCCTAAGAAATGTATGGCATTGTAAGTTATCAACGGCATTGGATTGTTCTTGAAATGGCTCAATAGCCAGCAACGGGCTGGAGTTGCACAATATGCTCACCAATAACAAATAATAAAGGCTGTGTTCCTTCCAGCAACATGTTAAGCTAAAATAAGTGACAGTGTGGTTTATCATAGAACAAACCTAACAGAACATAATCTATTCAGTTTAAAATAGCCATTGTGATCTATAAACACAGGGTTTATAGTGTGCTGTAATAAAGGGATCAGGTGTCATGATTGTTCTCTAGCTACTGTAGTTAGGTGCTACATTTGTGCCAGTGAATTTGTAAGGCAGCCTCATGTCCAAAAGTGTGTGACCCAGTGGCCAAGCTGATCTTTCATGGGACTGACATTCCCACAGCTCAATTTCTATTCTCAACGCTGGTAGCTCAATGGGCTAGGTTTGGCTGTTATTTTTATAGGTTGGATTGGTTATGGTGGGAAGCTTTAGAGATTTTGTTTTACATTGATTTTTAATTTGAATGGGCAAAACAGAAATGTCTAAAACAAAAAAAGCATTTTTTTCTTGCAAACTCCACACCTGAGTACCGTGGTTTCAAGTTGGCTGGAAGGAGGGGAAAGTGCTAACTCCTCTGTTTAATACCTGACGAGTTGAATTAATTGTCTGAGCCAATAAAGGGGAAACCGGAGAAGCCTGTAAGCCAATACAGTATTGCAACAACAGCATCAATTCTTAGGCTGCACCTAAACGGCCGAGATTCACATTTCCGACCTTTTCAAAAAAAAAAAAACCCCACCAAGGTTGCATATGGGCTTACTGACACGAAGCAGCTTTGTTTCACAACGGGGAAATAAATCCTGCTTAGAAGAGGCTCGAAAGGGACCTTCTGAACTCCTTTTGATGTCTCCTGGTCGCAGAATGGTTAGATCAACCCGGGTTGAATTTGCAAGGATTAGCGGGGCCGCCGAATGGGTTATCCGCCGATCAAACTCAAACCCGGATCAAAGCGTTACAGAGTAGAGAGCGAGCGAGCCAATCGCCGGGGGCCAAAAGGTGACCGAAACGCCCGCGTTGCTGCTCTCAGAGGGTTAAGCTCCGTGCCTGGAATGTGCAGTTTCTCCTCAGGCCGCGGGGGACGGAGCGGGCGGGCGAGCGCGTCAGGCGCACCCCGTGAGGAATTCTCTCGCTCGGGCTGGAATGTAGGAGCTGAGCGAGCCTTTTCCTGGTCTCCAGACCGCTTTCCTGACGCGAGCGGCGCTTCGTCGGCTCCTGCTTTCTCCCCTGCGGGCGATGGCTACCTCGGAGCTGCAGCCCGGGACCTCTCCACACCGGGACTCGTGGCGTCGCACCGTTCTTCTCCTGAGGAAGATGCGCTCAGATGTCAGTAGCCTCCTGGAATGCTACGTGAGTTCCTCTACTGCGCGCCTTCTTCTGTGTGTGCGCTCGCGCAAGGAGAGACGCGTGTTTTAGGGCCGGGGTTCAGGTTTGGTGAGGATAGAGTATAATCCGGAGAGAAGAGAGCCTTATGCTGTTGCTTCCATCACTATTTTTTTTTAAACATCCCAACGGGAGTTCTGTTAAGACTATCAATTAATGAACACCACGCACTTGTTAGAAAATTGTATAATACCCAAACAACACATTCTGTGATTTATACACAAGTGTGATGATATCTGAGTAAAATCTTCCATCACCCCACGGATGCCTGAAGGAAATGTGTGCCAGTGGTAACTGCAGCTCCCAAACCAAGCTTGTGCGGCTGTATATATATTTTTTTAATCTGGAGACTGCCACCAGCTCTTTACACCAACTCCCTTTAAAAAGCTATCTAATATTAGGGGATGAATTATTAGTATACTGAATCATATAACTGGAATGGACAAACGCTATGCATACCGGCTCTTCCTGCCTACCGGCAGAGTCATCCACCCCCAGCTGGATGCTGAACTGCAGAAAACAAATCGCTCAAGTCACAGAGTGAAATGTATTGTTAAACAATAACTAACAAAGACATTTCAAATGTCCTAGAATTCATGCCCATCAAGGTCTCTCTCTCTCTCTCTCTCTCTCTCTCTGTGTGTGTGTGTGTGTGTGTTTGTACCCATGTGCGCAAAAATCATAAAGTGCTTCTCCCAAAAGGAATGTTTTACAGTTTATTGCCTTAGGGATGGAGAACATACTTTTTTTTAAATCAGCAATCAAGATAGAAATGAAATAAGGGCTTGATTTTATTTATTTTAAGGTGGGTCTGGTTTTGTCAGGAAAGAAATGGGAGGGGGGGGGATAAAATTTTGTGATAGAATGCCACCTTGTGGGAGACTATGTGTATTGTTTGAAATGGTTTTTTAAGTCATGACTACATCACATTTATTTTAATGAGTCTAACAGACACACAGAGATGACTATCTTGACCAAACTAATTTCACGTGGTAGGTTGGGGGATGATAACCATCATCCCCAAAAATGATGGGTGGCATGGTAATGAAAAGAGATCTCCATATACATATATTGTCACTCCTAGAGGATGGATGGGTTGGTTTTAGTTAGATTTGATCTACTTCCTTTGCTACAATGATCAGATGACCAATTTCTTTGCATGATTATTTAGTAAGCTTGAACTCTTATCAATAAATGCCCTATTACACTCTTGAAGACACATAGGATGGGGATGAGTGTTTTCCTCACTTATATCAGGGTTAGGGCTAGGGTATCTTCAAGGGCTAATCTGAAAAACAAATGATAAGATATAAAATAATCCTATCTGCATCAAAGCATTAATTATTCCAAATACTTACTTATTTCTTCAGAGAACAACAATGATGTTTCTGTTTGCCTGATTTTAGTATTGGGGTGACAGAAAATTAAAATTAATATTACTAAATGCACTCCACTTGACCCATTCTTTAAGAAAAATCTGTCATTGTGTGTCACAATACTGGATTCTTCAGATGCTAGAGAGGATGTGAGCAATTGGCTCTGGGAGATAATCAATGCTTCTTAAGGGAAGGAATAACACTGCCTCATTTGAAGGAAGTAGCAGGGCCCTCTTTCTTGTAGAAACTATCCCTGGACCAATCTGTGTTTGACAAAGTTCAATCAGTGTTCAACCTGCAATTTGGGGGCATATTTGTCAAGAATTTGGTGAGTAATCAGCTATAGAAGATTGTTGAGGACATTGGTGATTTGGAACTTTTTCAATCAGGATTCAGGTCTAGTAGAGGTTAGAAACAGCATTTGTTCCTCTAGCTAGTAGGTAGCTATTTCAGGACATAGATATGGACCTTTCTTGGTCCTTTTAAAGCTTTCCATGGCTTTCCATACCACCAATTTTATCCTTTTGGAAATCTAAGGTGTCCATTCCATCCATACCTGGGTCCTATCTCCACATATGACTCTTCATCTGATCCCCAGGCCCTCCTCTGTACATACATTCCATTATCTGACCCTTCATCTACTCTTATTTGAGTGGGAAATTCCCTTCAGTGGCCATGTGGGGAAACACTCCAGTTCATGGAAATTTCAACAAATGTTTTGCCCCTAGTGGTTCAAAATGGGGCAGTGGAACTTCTGTATTTAATATTGGCATTTTATTAGTTAAGCTTCAACTTAGTTCCATCTGTAATTGTCCAGCATGTTGGGCAACTATTGCTCTCTATCTCTTGTGATCAGATCTCATTTAATTGCATCTGTTTGTTTCAGTAACTGAAAAAAAATGCATTTTAGTTTGCTAGGCCAATGCCTAACTTTCTTCCTTTCTTATAAAGATTTAGGACTGACAGTGGTGGAGTTTGGGGTTTTATGGTTATGTGTTTATATTTTCACTTTATGCTGTTTAGATTTTTTCAGGATTGGGGCAGATTACAAATATTATAAATGAATAATAGATGAAACAATGTTTTCCTTCAGAATATGGCCTCAGCAAGAGGCAGTGCTTAGCTGACTCAGCTAATTTTGGAAGCTAAGCTGGTTCAGCTCTAATTAATCCTTGGATGGTTAACCATCTCTGAATGGTAAAGCTGCTGGCTCTACAGTAAAACATAATGGCTTGGTTTATGCAATATTACAGACCTACTGCCCCAAACTTTATGGCTTAGAGCAGGGGTGTCAAACTCGATTTCGTTGAGGGCTACATCAGGGTTGTGTTTAACCTCAGGGGAGGGGCTGGAGTGGGCATGGCCAGACCAACATCACTCATTTCCAGGGCACCTGTGGTGGCTTGAACATTCTGCCAGTGTAAATGGATTTCTGGGCTCTATTTTTGGCTGTGACGGCCTCCTGCAACCCTTTGCCAGTGAAAACAGAGCCCGGGAGGGCCTGATCTGGCTCCCGGGCCTTGAGTTTGACACCCCTGACTTAAAGGATCATGAAGCCATTTTTAACCTGGAAGCAAGAGGTAGTAGGTATGTCTTTCACTAGTAGAATTGAAAATTTAGGAGCCATTTTCTTTGGACTTTGGGAATTAATAGTGAGAATGAGGCCTTCATTCCCATTTGTATTTTACTACTTTTAATCTGTAAATTAGGCGATCTACACTTATTGTTGTAAATCACCCAGAGTCATTTAGGGGAGATGGGCTGTATAGGAATTCAAATAATAATAATAATAATAATAATAATAATAATAATAATAATAATAA